AAATTAGTAAAAAATGGGTTATTAATTACATTCTTTGATTATTTATAGTCTTTAACAAACGCATTTTGTTCTGTTTTTTGAAAAATTAAAGTTCATTATTTATTAGAAGATTTGATACAACTTGGTCAATTTTGAGACTCTAGGGAGTTTCTAGTCACCACAATGGGGTCAAATGTCACTAAAATGTTACTAAACACCCAATAAAGCTCCCAGAAAAGTTTCATTAAAATATCTCAAGGCTTTCTTGATTTAAACGAGGTGTTAAGTGTTAAAATCACTTTTAGTCAATTTTGAGATATTCAAAGAGCTGTAGAAAAGCTTCTAGCCGACAGAAATTATTCAAATTTGGCTCAAATCTTCTCAAATATTTGATAAACCCGTCGAAAAAATTTCATCACAATATTCCAAAGCCTACTCGAGTTATTTAACACGGTGCTAAGTGCTAGACTTGACTTGGCATTTTTTGGAATTACATTTGACCAAAACGGCTCAAATACCAACTATGGTAAAAATCTAACTCCAGATTACCAAAACTGGTGTAAAAATGCATAAGTGGTGAAAATTTTACATTAATATCGATTAAATTTTTTAAATTTTTTCATTATTTGGAATTGTTAAAATTTTATTATTCTTAAAATCACACATTATTTTGATGTAAAATAAGTCTCTGATAACTGAACAAGTTATTTCTCCACATTTTTATTTTTGTAGTTTTCAAAATATTTCAATTTTGGAAATTAATAAACTTTGTCTACTTTCACTATAAAATAAAAATATCCAGTCCGGCTCTGTCTGTGTTAATTATTAAAACACAGACGCAGACATAATTTAATGATGATTTCTACAAATTCTTTGTAAATTTTTGCACACGTGTTGATTTAAATAAAATGCAGCGATAAAATAATCTGAACAGGAAATTGAAACAAAAAATGCAATTGAACATATTTGGTTTTATTTATTGCACAATTCCCATATCTTGCAACATGTTTTTTTGGTTGACAAGCCCTTTTATCTTTTCAGACAGAAAATTGATCGAAAAGCCCCTCATTTTCCTTAGTTTTTTGCACAAGGGCCTAAAGTTGGTATTTATTCCCGCTTAGCAGTGCATAGTAATTAATCCCGTGTAATAAAACCCAATTACTAGTTAGTCTTTCAATAAAAAGCCGATTTTATACGTTATAAAGTTCCATGAACCTAGAAAAGCATGGCAATTTCACACGATATCTGTTACTTTATTTTTGAACAAGAAGTAACAACAAGAGAACTCATTAAAATCTGTGTTATCCTTTTTACTATTTTACATACCCATCTGGCTTATCGAACGACTCGTAATCCAATGTAAAGAACAATAAAGATTGCAGAATTTACGTTCATCAGGTGGTTTAACAAGGTTGAGGTCACCTCACGCTTGACCTAGCACGAGAAATGTCTTATTTTTTGGTTTCTTATTTTATTATTCTTCACACTTTAATAAAATTAAACAAGATAAAATCACAACCGATTGCCTTGACACCACAGGTGATACTACTTTTTCCATTCTTGAGATAACGACTCTTTCTTATCATTCAAAGATTAAGATTTTGTCTAAATTGTTGTGAAATGAAAGTCGAATTTTCGTCCTTGTGAAGCTCGTTTACGGTTAAATTCATTGAAATAATGTTCAATGAGTATCATTAAATTTCCGGAAGCCCGGAACCGGACATACCACTTAACACTCACTAGCTTAATCTGGGATCCCTTAATTAATTCTCACAACTTGTTCATGTAATCTGCTAGTGGGAATTTAATAGAGGCCATGAAATTATTTGTTTTTTGGGTAAATAGACCAGTGGGAAAGATATACAGGATGTCTCAGCAAGTTGAAAAAGTCCTTTAAATGGTAAAATTAAAAAAAATTGTATAGGACATTACTTAAAATTATTTTCAACTATACAGCATGTGCTAAAAATAAGTTACGATATAAACTTGTGTTATTTAAATAAAAAGCAAAATGTTTCTTTTGAAATTGAGCTTTAAATGACCAAATTCTGCCAAAAATGATGCTATTTATGAATTTTTAACTATTTGAATAGGTTTTTGGGTTAGTTTTCACGCAATATTTTGCTAAAATAGACCGAAAAAATCACTAAATTCGACATATTTTGAGCTGTTTTATTGCTTAAAACAAGTCAAAAAATCACCAAATTAATTGAAAATAATGAGTATTTTTATTTTTTTTAATATTTAACTAAAAACTTATTTTTTTACTAAATTTTGCTAAACTAACCCCATAAGTCAACAACTTGGTCAAATATTAACGTTGTTTTGGAATATTTTGCTCTATTTATTTCGTTTTTGAGTGAGATTTTATCAAAAAAGACAAAAATTTACAAAAATTTGCCTTTTGAAAGCGTTAAAGAAAGTGTTTAATCAGAAACGCAT